TATTATATCTATATTAATTTTGACTTTTTTATGGTACTGCAACTTTAAAACTATAGCCACAGCGTATCACTATTTCTAGATATAATATAACAGTAATTTGTAAACTTTATCTAAATGTTTTTTTTTTTTAAATCTAGTTTATTTAGTTTACAGTTCCATTATATCAGACAAATGATAATGATATAATAGAGTTTGAAATAAAAAAACATTCAGAATTTCTCATTAATAAATATTTAACAAGCACTATTTTTTTATTTTTATTTATAAGTTATAAATTATAACACAATAATTCATTTTTTTTTTAATTTTTTTTTTACAAATGTTTGTAGTTTTTTGCTATATTATATTATACATCTTAGCTAATCCTGTATTTATTTCTTAATTTTAGAATAATTTATTTCCTAATCTGTTCAATTGTATTTCATCATTATATTCGATTCCGCTCCATTCCAAAGGGCGTGGAGTCTTTGACAAGTTAATCAGCTAATTTAATGTAATTCATAGTTAATATGCCCGTGATTTTGATTAACCATCTATAATTGTAAAATTCATCATAGTTTGACTTTTAATATTTGGCACAAATTTAAGAGTAATAAGAAAAGTACATATTGATTTAAGATAAACTCATTGTTATCCATTATTTTTCAGTATTCAAATAAAATATCTCCGTCTCAGTGTGTGTAGTGTGTTGACCTAGCTCAAATACCCCAACCAGGTGTAATATCAAATGCAATACGTCTGGGCCAGGTGACCGCATTTAAAGCAAACATTTTGCTAGGTTTTCTCTTGGTCCGGCCAAAGTCCAGTAAATACAGTTGCTACGGCACGGGGCTGGATGGGCGGCACCATGGGCGTGGCGGACGTTCGAGCAGCATCGGCCATGGCACAAAAGGCTGTTGAGAATTTATTTCCTGTTTCGTTAGACATTTAGGCCGCTTTGGCAACCGGGCAGCAAATCGAAAAGGGGCAACAGATCAAATGGCCACTTGCTGGCCAGATCCTTGGGCTTATCGTAAGGCGGTGCTGACCACCGGAGGTTAAGTACGTCAAAAGCACGGATAACTGAATTCAGACATGAGCATGTGTGTGTGGGTGTGTGTGTGGGTGTGAGAGTGTGGGTGGGTGTGGAACTCGGAGATTTGGCTTAAATAAACCTAGCAACGGGCAATGGCCAGCAGGCAACAGCCAATGGGCAACGGGCAAGGGGCATAAAGTGAAATGAATTGGTTTCTGGCATTTGTTCATTGCTTTAACTGCCCATCGAGCAGTTGAAATTGATTTTATTCGCGCGTAGGTGGCCATTCGGCATATTAATGTAATTTAATGTAACGCTCTGCGCATAAGTTATGCAAATGAAATTGACATTTAAATAAAATTTTACTGACGTTGATTTCTCCGTCTGTTTTATATTTTTTTATTATTTTTTATTCTTTCTCAACAGCCACACGTGGCCGCAACGCGTGAGCAAATGGAGTTCCATGCGGGTTTCCTTACATTGTTTTTGCATTATATATATGTATGTATGTGTATATTGTATATGCACATATTATACATTATGCATGTGTATAAACAATCTGGTCGAGCTTTAAATTCATTGCAAACAACGACAGAAATTTTTATTAACTGCGCACTTTTAATATCCCGGACAAATATCTGGCTCAAATGCGTCCCTTGGGGACAGGTTATATTATATGTATATGTATCGTATAATTGATATATATAAAGTATGAAATGATATATTACATTGTGGAACACTTATAGTTTTGCATATGTGTATGTAGAGTTGCGCGCATCTTTTTATGTTTTTAAGCGAAAATTAATATACAATAAAAAGTAGAAAAATAAAAAATAAAAATTAAATAACGTAAATAAATACA